TTTAACCACAAAAAAAATTATCAATTGTATTTAATTTATGATTTATTCTGGCCTAATTCGTTGTTTTTATGGATAATATGCTGATATTAAGTAAATTCTACGTCCTTGGTTAAATGAAATACAAAGTTCTTCACTGTTTAGTTCAGAGTCATTGGTTGTTTTAAGTAAAGTTTTGATGAAATACTATATTAACAAAACAAATATTGTGTATAGCTACAAAATCCTTTCAATTTAAATAAATCTATATTTCAGGTGTTTAGTTCCAAAATGCGAAGATCTGAATCCAGTTGTGGAAATACCTCACTGGTGGCCGAATGATGTGGACGTAAGATGTTCTCAACCGGTTCTAGATGAAGAGAAGTATCTGCAAAATAATACATGTTCAAATGAAATCTTCTACAAAGAATTATATGAATGTCATGAGTGGGTTTATGAAAATAACGATTCTGTCGTTTCTGTTGTAAGAAATGTATAATTTTTTAATACATTCCATTACCTATTCTGTATAGAATTTCAAGCGAAATTAATTACTGCAACAAATATCCTCTATTACGAGTATATTTTAACTTTATATTTCAATCTAATGTTACTTATATAAAATAAAATAAAAAAAGTTAATGACTAAGATCATTACTTTGGGAAAGTATAACATTATACAAATAACAAGGTACGGGTACATGTTTCCATTGTCTAACTAATGAAACATTTTTACCTCGCAAGTTTTGTGTGCATATAATATTGTGTTCGTTTAGACAAAAAAGATTTTAAATTGTCGCTATTATGACGTTTATGAAAACAAGCATTATCTAATAGTAAATGGCTTTGTAAAAGACTATGTATGGTTATAGCAAGATTATTATTAATTATTTGACCTAATTAAATTATGTTGACGATATATTGACGATGTTAAAATATATTGACGATATCTCTACGGTTGAAATGTACCTACTTAGTACTTGTTAATCATACTTATTCTTAAAAAAAACTAGAATTTTTAACAACTTACAGACACATACGTCATATTCTTTGTACAAAAAACAAAATTAACAGAATTCAAACATAATTTAATGATTGTCCGCACATGATCTTAATATCTTAAGTAAAAAGAATATAGTTATTGAATAAGGTTTTTTTACCATTCAGCTAAATTTGGGATGTCAGCCGTGGAAAATAAGTCTTATTGGAACTATACATAATGCCGGAATGTTGTTAGCTATGATGATATCAGGGATTTTAACAGACAAGTGAGTCAGTTTCAATGTATGAGTAATATTTTATTCTATCTTCCTGCTTCAATAGAATAACTATACCTGCTTTAATAGAATACTATAGTGGGACTGCTCGCTAAAAAATTTCTATTTTATTAAAATTAATAAGAATACATTTTTTCAGATTGGGAAGAAAACCAACGCTGATCATGACCGTTTCTTGCGGCGTTGTAGGCTTAACAAAAATGTTCGTAACAAATTTTTACTTATACCTGGGATTAGAATTTTTAGAATCCGTTTTAGCTTCTGGATTGTATACTGTTGCTGCCGTTTTATGTAAGCTCTTATATTATAAATGTATCACTCATTGTACTTTATTTTATAAGTAACTTGAATTATGGCAATTCTATAACCTTTTTTTTAGTAATCGAACTGGGAGGTGGCGGAAGACGTGTTTTGTCGGGAGTGTTATCAGCTTCTTCAATATATATTGGAGAAATAATCTTCGGACTGTTAGCAATGGTTCTAAGATATTGGAAATATTTGATTTTAGCTGTTTACTCGCCTTTGGTTATGTTTATATTCTATATTTATATTTTAAAAGAAAGCACGAGATGGCAGTTGTTAAGGGGCAAGATAGTAGAGGCGAAAGAGACTTTTAAATTAATAGCAAAAATGAATAAATTGTCGCTGACGGAAAAACAAATAAGCGATGTTTCGGGAGAAGAATTATGCTTGAAACTAAATGTGGTCGAACCAAAAGAGAGAGAAAGTTTCAAAGATATACTAAAGTCCAAGGCAATACTGATACGTCTAGCAGTTATGTCGTTTAGTTTTTTTTCTACTAACTTTATGTATGTGGGTTTAACTGTTAACTCAGTATTTCTTCCCGGAGATAAATATATAAATTTCCTTATCACAGCAGTGGCTTCTATACCTGGAGATTTAATAGCACTGTCTGTTTTTACAAAGTACGAAAGAAGAATATCTTTACAAGTTTCATACGTATTGAGTGCCGTTTTTATCATAGCACACAGTTATGCCCCTAATAGTAAGTATAACTAAATAAAAATAATGAAAAAAATTATCGATGTTGGTATTTCTTAACTTAAATTGTTTGCTTCATGTTATTTTCAGATATAATTTGGTTAAAGTTGTTATTATTTTTATGTGGCAAAATGGCTGTAGTGATTTGCATAATTGGTATATGCATTTACACTATAGAATCATTCCCGACCAATGCTAGAGGAACCCTGTTAGGTATTTGCAACACTGCAGCCAGGACCGGAAAAGTATTGGCACCCTTAACCCCTTTACTGGTATTATTATTATATTGTTATTAGTTTTGATATCTAAACAATATTTATCAAATTCTTATACTAAAATTCAAATAAATAACGTAACTGAAAAATTATTCGAACAAGAATCGACTCTGTGATTTTTTGGAACACGCAATGCGTTTTATTTCTTTTTTTAAGTTTTCTTTCATATTTATTCTACAACGTCAATTTTTTTTAATTGCATATCCTTTGTCTTCCCGTGAAATTAATTTAATACAAAAAAACCTTTTTAAAGGGACTGATTTAGGCTATACGTCCATTCAATTAAAGTATTAGTGTTTTTGTATTGAAAATGTACCTTCTTGTTTCGATGTTATTAATATATTTTTTTTCAGACTTCATATTTCGAGGCATTTCCATCTCTGTTGTTCATGGTATCAGCCGTCATCTCCGTTCTTCTACTTTCATTTACACCGGAGACGAAAAACCAACCCATTTTTGATACGATAAAACAAATTGAAACGTATGTGGCAACTGTTGACACATAGACAATAAATATTTTAAAATTATTCTTGTGAATTTCTTTGATATTAATTTTATAATCCTAAAAGTAACTCTGTTTGGGTGTCTGTTTGTTACTCGGCAACGGGTTAACCGCTGAATCCATTTGAATGAATTTTGATATAGACATAAATGGAACCTCGAAAAATACATAGCATATAAATAAAAATTCCGATACAAAATCTCGATACCGAAATTAAGCGTTGTAACGACCCCGTAATCTAGTTAGTTTTCAGGGTGTTTTGATTAGTTAAACATAAGTCTTTTTGTTGATATGGATGCAATATAGAAATACTGAAAGAAATTACTTTTTCCCGAAACATTACGTCCAACCACAAAATTGTGTAGTTTATCTAAGGGTTCTACCATTTTCTATTCACGATTACTCTTAAACCTTGAATAATCACCTCTGTCTGTCATTTGATCTTGTTATTTATAACAATTACTAACAACAAATTTATATAAACTAAAAAAAATGTGATGATCATAAAGAAATAATATATTTTTATTTCTTTGTGATAAGCAGATGTATCACAATCTGATCAATTCTAGGTACGATATTATAATTATATGGAAAATGATTATGATTATGTACATGGTTTTTAGATAAGGTAATTTGTATTAAAAAAACCAGTTGAGTGACTTATTTTTAATTGTAAATGTTCTATTAATATTTTTGTCCAAAGCAACACTTTGACATTGAGAACAATACAAAATGTCTATGAATAGACCTTAATCCGTTCTTAAAATATAAATACAAAAAATCTCGTACACCATATACTTTACACTTTCTTACCAATAAATCTATCGTTAGAACTTCCAGTTTAAGTTTAAACACTACTTCTTCGGAAGTAGGACGTTCGATTCCTACTCGTTTCGATGACTTTTAAATCAAAAAAATTGTTTGAAAGTTAAAACAATTACATAATTTTTATTTCTTTTGGGTTCCAACAGACTACATTAATATAAATAAGGTTAGTATTCATTTAAATGAAACAGATATTTTTTCGGATTTCTACGCGTATTTTATCGGATTACTAACCGTGATCACGGTTACTGCAATAAATCCGAAAAATGTTAGTTTCATTTAAAATTAATAAAGTTTTGTCAGTCAAAGAAAAATTCATTTTATTTTTATTTATTTATTTACAATCAAAAATCAAGTAACATAGACTAATAAATTTGTTAGCAACAATAAAAAATTATAAAAATATGTTAATATTGTCATTACTACTACATGCCACTAGATATGACGCAGCAATTATTTATATAAGGTCAATCAAGCTTACTACATATCATATTTAAGATGTTGTTGGTGCTGCCCCGTAGTCTTCATATAAAAGCACCACACCTTTTGCGCATAGTAGCGAAAAACAATTAACCTGCTCTGTCGCCAACATCCCTGACGCACTGCAGAAACGAGGCAGGCCCAGCAGCAACCTAAATGCGTTATTATATTGAACTCGAAGAACGTTATAAGATTTTTGCGAATACCTAACCCACAGGTTAGACAAATAATGACTCATACAGGCTAAAGGCTCTAAACAATGTAATTTTCACGCTAGTCGAGCGCCTTATGCGGGATTAGGGGCCTGCCTAGGCCGAGTCTCACACATCCCTTCCGGTCTCACCAAGGCCAGTAGGACGGCTCGTAAAAAGAGTTTACCCGCGTCATAAACAAAAGGACCGTGCAAACCTGCGAGCCAGTATACTCACTCTCACCGACAATGCCGTCCTTTCTTTCTCAATATCGGCATCGTCCTTGAGGCTTGGTGTCGACACATGCCCAAGATATTTAAATACAACAAATACTCTTTTGAGTTCATTACCAATTACAATTCAGAGACATAAAAATAATAAGTCCTTTTAGTAGTTACATATTGCATTTTGGTTTGATTAAAAATATAGGGTATTATAACAGAGACATTCGCATCAATAAAATATTTATTCTCTATGTATGAACAGTTGCCTCATACGTTTCAATTTGTTTTATCGTATCAAAAATGGGTTGGTTCTTCGTTTCCGGTGTAAATGAAAGCAGAAGAGCGGAGATGACGGCTGATACCATGAACAACAAAGATGGAAATGCCTCTAAATATGTAGTCTGGAAAAAATATATTAATAAGATTGAAAATAGAATGTAAATTTTAAATACAAAAAAACTAATACTTTATTTAATTGTAGGTATAGTTCTAAATCCATTTTTCTAAAAGGTTTTTTCTGTGTTAAGTGAATTTAACGGGACCATATGTTATTAATACAATAAAAAGACGTTGTAGATTAAATATAAAAGATAAATGTTAAAGAATGGATTTAATTTGATTTGGACATGGACATGATTTTTTATCCACACTATTCATTCGAATTTTATTTAAATATTCCGATAAATATAATTTTAATATTAAAAATAAGATAAAAATGATAACAATACCAGTAAAGGGGTTAAGGGTGCTAATACGGTTCCGGTCCTGGCCGCAGTATTGCAAAGACCTACCAGGGTTCCTCTAGCATTGGTTGGGAATGATTCTATAGTGTAAATGCATATACCAATCATACAAATCACTACAGTCATTTTTCCACATAAAAAGAGTAACAACTTCAACCAAATTATATCTGAAAATAACACGTAGCAAAAAAATTACGTTGAACAATAGCAAAATCTTTAATATTTTCATAAACTTTTTTTAATTATACATACCAACAGGGGTGTAACTGTGTGCTATAATAAAAACGGCACTCAACACGTATGAGATTTGCAGACATATTCTTCTTTCATACTTTGTAAAACAATACAGTGTTATTAAAACTCCAGGTATCGAAGCCAACGCTGAGATAAGGAAATTTATGTATTTATCTCCGGGAAGAAATACTGAGTTTACGGTTAAACCGATATACATAAAGTTAGAAGAGAAAAAAGTGAACGACATAACAGCTAGACGTATTAGTATTGCCTTAGACTTTAGTATATCTTTGAAACTTTCTCTCTCTTTTGGTTCGACCACATTTAGTTTCAAGCATAATTCCTCTCCCGAAATATCGCTTATTTGTTTTTCCGTTAGCGACAATTTATTCATTTTTGCTATTAATTTAAAAGTCTCTTTCGCCTCTACTATCTTGCCCCTCAGCAACTGCCATCTCGTGCTTTCTTTTAAAATATAAATATAGAATATAAACATAACCATTGGCGAGTAAACAGCTATAATCAAATATTTCCAATATCTTAGAACCATTGCTAACAATCCGAATATTATTTCTCCTATATATATTCCAGTGCCTAATAACACTCCTGACAAAACACGTCTCCCTCCACCTCCCAGTTCGACTACTGCAAGAAAAATAAAAGTATAGATTTTCGTAATTCAAGTTACATATAACATAAAGTACAATGAGTGATACATTAATAATATAAGGGCTTACATAAAACGCCAGCAACAGTATACAATCCAGAAGCTAAAACGGATTCTAAAAATTCTATTCCCAGGTATAAGTAAAAGTTTGTTACGAACATTTTTGTCAAGCCTACAACGCCGCAAGAAACGATCATGATCAGTGTGGGTTTTCTTCCCAATCTGAAAAATTAGTATATTTTATTAATTAACAGATTAAAAATAATTTAATTATATTGTGGACTGACAAAATAAATATTTGTAATGAGCAGTCTCACACGATAAAACTCAGTTATTCTATTGAAGCAGATTGATATGATAAAATAATATTCATATATTCAAATTAACTCACTTGTCTGTTAAAATCCCTGATATAATCATAGCTAACAACATTCCAGCATTATGTATACTTCCAATAAGACTAATTTTCCACGGCTGACATGCCAAATTTAGCTGAATAGTAAAAAACCTTATTTATTGACTATATTTATTCTTTTTTTAAAATTAATAGATGAAGATCATCAATGTTCTATAATTAATTAAAATATGATTGAATGATGGTAATTTATTTTCTATATAATGTACATATACAGGGTGACTGGTGAATTACTATCGATACTTGAGGACGTGATATTTGACGATCATATATGACAAAATAAAAATTAATATAACATAAATATTAATAAACTTCTAAGTAAAGTTAACCAAAAGTTGTGTAATTAATTACGCATCGTGTGAACACCCTAAAGATTAGGTATACACACGCACATACACACACGTGTGGCGGCGTAGTGTTGTATCAGCACGCCGCCACACGCGTCCACGCTTGGAACACTTGGAACGTGTCCACGCTTTATTTATTTATACGGAAATTTAAGTACCTATTTTTTTTTTACATAATTCGAATGAGAATCATGTACCGAGTATTCTCCTTAAATATTGATAGTAATTCACCAGTCACCCTGTATAGCTTCAAATCGGCTTTTTTCACTCACAGACCATAAAGAAGTGGTCCAAATTTCTATTTTGTTTTTAGAATAAGCATTTTATTAATAAGTCAGTCAAATCATTTACCCGTAAAATCTCAATTTTATAATGTTAACATTTCTCATATTAATGATCTTTTGATAAAATTCTGATCTTTGATGTTTATAAAACAACATTACATGCATATATGTATTTGTTCAATACACTTGTGCTATGGGAAATGAAATGAAATTTCGCTTGGAATTCTATAGAAAATAATACATTTCTTACAACGGATACGACAGAATCGTTATTTTCATAAACCCACTCGTGACATTCATTTAATTCTTTGTAGAAGGTTTCATTTGAACATTTATCATTTTGCAGATACTTCTCTTCATCTACAACCGGTTGAGAACATCTTACGTCCACATCATTCGGCCACCAGTGAGGTTTTTCCACAACTGGATTCAGATCTTCGCATTTTGGAACTAAACACCTGAAATATAGATTTATTTTAAGTTGAGAGGAATTTCTTATATTTACACTATATTTTTTGGAAATATAGCTTTTCATCGAACCTTAAGTTAAAATAACCAAGGCCACAGAACTGAACTAAACAATAAAAAAGTTTATATTTTATTGAACTAAGGACTTAGGATTTACTTAATATGTTAATCCACAAAAATGATGAGTTAGACCAAAAATAATTCATGGATTAAATATAATAAAAAATAATATACCAATTAAATCGTACTATATTTAACTTTACAAACATTCAAATTTTTCAAATGTTATGATAAGGTTATAAAAACCTACAAATTTAAATACGCTTCTATTATGAAATAACTCTGTCCTATGAGACAAAAAAAGACGAAACTTCTCAGCATTCCATGGATTCATCGTACAGGTGCCGGGCCCATCGCGTTAAAGAGTTTTAACAGTGCCTTTTTGTTTAATGAATATTTGTGTATTATAACGAGCTATTAAATTAGTAAGATAATCATTAACTCAGTGTAATAATATAATTTATTTAACTTTTAAAATAAATTAAATAGACTAACAGTACAGACATCATATGTATAAATAAGGTTGTTAATTTTCTACTATCATTAAAACCATTTTATTCTTATTTGAATACTTAGTAAATAATTAGGTTTTTTTTTACTATAATTCGTAACTCGAAAGTTAGATATGTAATTTTTTGTTGATACAAAAAATAATATATGTGCAATTTTGATAAACCTTTATATTCAAGCAGTCACCAAACAGTTTTAAGAATAATTCAAATTAATATTGGTTTTCTTTCGAATACTCAGAAAATTTCATCTCATCACCATAAAAATTTATATAAAACATCGTCTTTTTGGGAAAAAAACTTTAAATTTTTGTATATACGTCTTTAATTAAAATGAGTTTATTATATTATATTCTAAATTACATGTTAATCGTTAAATTATTCCGTAGGTACTACACATATTGATATAAGTGTATCGATAATGTTATGTGTTTTAAAAAAATATAAAAAAACTCATTACATAGTGTAATATTTATAATTCTTTCAATTTCCTTTTTCGGCTTCAAAACCCATAAGAGGAAAAACTACAGAGAAAAACTTATGCTTGACTAAACTTTTAGTAACCTACAAGAACCAAATGGTAATTTGGTAAATTAAAAAAAAGATAGACACAATTATTAAATAGAGTTAGAAGTTGAAGGCATTATATTTATCTATATCATAATTTTAGTTTGCTTACTAAGCTCGGGTTTTGTTATATAATATAGCTCATATTGTTAAGAGACGCCCGACAGACGTACTATTTAACACAGATATGAATTACACAGATATGAACGCCCTCTTCACTTACTAAAACTGTGTCACACTCCAATGCCAATTTCCTTTCAACTACGTCTTAGGGGCCCAGGTCCAGCCTTTTAAAAGCACGCATACTTCTTCAAGCCCATAGTTGAAGGTAGGCCTCATTCGGACTACCCACTCACCCCAATAACGCTATCAAAGCTAATACGACCAAGGCCAACAGTGAAGTCGAAAAAAAAAATTTAATAGTGTTTTTATAATTGTTTTACCTGTGATCGACATCCTGGGCCACAAAAATGTAATTAACATTAGTCATTGACACCATCATAATAGACAAACATATCAAAATATATTGAATACATTGAAATTTCCCGAACTTATTCAACTCCATAAAAACATCACTATTAACTTCAACTACTTCTGTTACCGTCATATTAATACTATTCATAGTCAATGACTAAAACTAAATTTAAATTACAGATTGTGATAAGGTTCATCAAACAAATTTGAAATATGGCAAAACTAATTCGGACCCGAACAATAAAAGACTAAGAAAGAAACGTAACAGCCTACTTTAAACACGTAAAAAAAGAATACACTATTCAAGTAAAATCAGCTATTTTTAGAAAATTACGGACATAACAGAATATATGTATAAGTAGGAGCATAGTAGTTATACATTATGGCCGAAATGAAATTAAAGACTAGGTACCCTTTTCCCAAAAAACATTATAAGTTTATTTAGTCTTCTACCGGGCAATTTCCCAGCTTTTAGCCAGGGTCTGCCTTACATGTTGTGAATAATTATTAATTTTGGCTAATTGTTTTTATGACGGGCGCCTGAATGACATCAACCCTCTTAATCCTTTTTGTACTTTTTTAGAATAATTGTAAAACTTTCTTAAAATGTTCATTGTCAGGACAAAAAAAATATTAAAAGGAAGTGGAGCCACTTAAGAAGTGCAATAATCTTTTAGAATTCTTATAATTTGTTTACTATATTATATCAGAGCATTTAATTGTGGTTAATGCCGGACAGACCCAAGTCTTTTAGTAGGTTGTTCGTACATTAAGTAATGAAAAAATTGATGTTGAACACAAATAAAATTGGAAAATGAATGTAATGTGGTCATAATAAGATTTACACACGGAATCTTCTGAAAACTTCCATCGTTAAACAATACTAAAAATATTAATTTTATAAGCATTTCATTAATTCAAAAAGGATTATGAGAAACTATGTTTATGACAAAAAATTTTAAAGAGTGTAAAATATTTACTCCAAACATTTTTTATATGTCATGGCTTCATTTATGCCGGAATCGTGAATTTTTAAACCATTTCAGTAACTGGACAATTTATCGGGAATCTTTGACGTACACCAAACTTGACATTGGCAGTTGACATTAGCATTTCAGGTACATTAATGTGTGGTATCACCGGCTAAATTTAATTTGCACAATTATTTAATAATATGAAAGCTGCTTATTAAATATTCATTTCATAATTTTGAGTTCCTATTCTGAATCCATTTTTAAACACTAACATTAAAATTATAGACATGGCGGGGTTCGAGGTTAGAATGTGCAATAGCCAAAAGGTAAAATAGCATTAAGAAAACTATCATATGATGTTGTGTTTGAAGATTTTATTAATCTCCTTTAAATTATCGTTTCAGGGTAAGGGCCTCTTTGCTACAAAGGAGTTTTTGCCGGGAGATGTAATTTTAGAAGAGGAACCATTAGTTTCTTGTCAGTTTGCTCATAATGCTGCATACAGATATTTAGCCTGTGACCATTGCATGAGGTAATGTTATGTTTTTTATTTTTAACAATCAACTTTTTTTTACTCACATCCATTCCAATACCATCAGTTGCTGTAATCAAAAGCATCTGTATTAGTAAAATAAAGTTGTAGACAGCTTTATGTATATATATACTCTTAATTATTTGATCAGTTTCACTCCTAAATTTGTATATCATGTTGCAGACCTTTAGAAACACCAGAACAGAATGTAAGGCGCCTGTCAGCCAAACAGGATATAATTTTACCACATTCCAACTGTTTTGAGACTGATCTTTTGAATATCACAAGCTGTAATCAATGTGGTATATTATATTGTTCTCAAGAATGCAAGGAGATATCATATGCAACTTATCACCGGAGCTTGTGTTATATACAAAGTGAAGTTCTGCATCCAATTAGTGTGCTTGTTGAGACTTGGAAGTAAGTTTTTAATATTTAAAGTTGATGGTTCTTACATAACAGTCATTTAATACATTCCACAAACAAGTTTTTGAACAATATTTATAGAAATCATATTAAGGTTTGTACTCATGAATGGATAACATCTTAATTACTTGCACATTTCTTTATATTTAAAAATATTGTGACATCTTTTTTTATATAATTTTGAAAGATTAGGAATTTTACATCTAGTTTATGTATATGTGTGTATTATTAAACATGTAAAAATTTTGTTATAATATTTAACAATGTTGAGGAATTCATATTTACTAATATTTTCTGGTTACTTTGTTAAAACCAGTACTTAAATTAAATTTAAAGTTGAAAATGTACTTATCTAAAGTATAAACTTCTTGTTATTCTCAGACAAATCCATTATCCTCCTGAGACTACCAACATTATGTTAGTCGTCCGTTTATTGGCATATATCCAGCAACATGATGACCCGGCCCTAGCTGCAGAAAATGTCAAACAGTTCTGTCATAGAACAATCAATGAAGATGCAGAGCTTGTACACAAATTGTTAGGAGAAAAGTTCAGTGACCAGTTGAATACATTGAGGGAAATGACAGCTAATGTTATTAGAGGAGAATATATAGATGAGGTAAAGTCTTTGTCACCTCCACACTTATGAGATTACACTTATTTTTGTACCCATCGAAAGAAATCTAATTCTTATATAGCATTAAAGTCTCTAAATGTAAACATAAATTGTTAGTTTAATATTATATGACTTGTAATTGGTGAGTAGTTCTATTTTTTAATATGGTACTATATTTTTTGGTTATAATAAATTTTTGCTATCTGTCAGAGAAAGCATCATGAAAATCTATCAAGTTTTCATATAATTTGAATATGAAAATATTCAAACATCATTATAATTTGTATGATTTTTTTTTATTATTTTAATATTCCTTCTATTACATCATTCAAATAGAAACTTAAACTATGTCAATAAATAAACCAGTTCACATTGTTGCTTAAATCATTGTTTTATATTCTGATTTCAGTTCCTAACCCCAGAAGGATTTTCCTCTTTAATGGCTCTTGTGGGTACAAATGGTCAGGGTATTGGCACAAGTCCCTTAGCACTGTGGGTGAATTCAGTGTCTCAATTGACCATGTCAGATGACGAAAGGCAGCAACTAGATGTTTTTATAGATAAAATATATCAATATGTTGAAGAAGGTAATATTTTAACAAATATATACTAATTTAAATGAAACTAATAGTTTCGGATTTACTACGCGATTTTTTATTTTTGTCTATAAAATACATACTCCCGACGTTTTGGCTACATTACAGCAACCGTGATCACGGGAAGACGAGATGTGAGTGTCTGTCAGTCGGTCTTGTTATTTTATCACCTACCGCCATCAATTTCTTAATCTTCTGGCGTACCGTTCTGGATGCCGGCAGAATGCGCTTACTAGGTCTCGAGGTCCTGCGGTGTGGTCACGGACATGGGATTTTTTATTTTTAAGAAGAGGATCCCATGTGTTAGGTTCCAGCCATCTTCTCTATTGAAATTGGGGTGTTTTTTTAATTTCAATAGCCTCGCGGATTAACCTTGGTATATATCTGTTTTCACGAGCGAGGATATGTGGTTTATCAAATCTAATATAATGGCCTGGTTTGTCCAATGCATGTTCACACACTGCTGACTTCGACGCGCCTATTCCTGACGTCTGAATGTCTTCCTTAACCTTTGTACCAATGCTTCTCTTTGTCTGTCCGATGTATGACAAGCCACAGTCAACAACACACATACTCCTTTACAACAAGCGGGTGTATACAAACTAGATTGTGATTGATAGTCAAAAATAAAAAATCGCGTAGTAAATCCGAAAATATTGGTTTCATTTAAATGAGTACTCGCGAAAATCTTAGATCACATTAAATATATACAATTGTATTCACTTATGATATATTTAATATATAATGTGATTTATAAACATATGATTTTAGAATCAGGCCAGTTCCTTAACACAGAAGGTTCAGGTTTATATCAACTTCAAAGTGCTTGCAATCACAGTTGCGCTCCAAATGCTGAATCATCGTTCCCATATGGAAACCACAGAATACAGCTCAAAGCTATAAGACATATTAAGCCGGGTGATGAAATACACATAAGTTATTTGGATGATTGCACTCTACAAAGGTCTAGACATTCAAGACAGAGGGTAAGTACCTTAAAATATTCAAATATATTTTATTTTCTTTCTCAATTATCTTATACTAATATTATAAAGCTGAAGAGTTTGTTTGTTTGCTTGAAAGCGCTAATCTCCGAAACTACTGTTTCGAATTGAATAATTCTTTTTGTGTTGGATAGTCCAGTTATCGAGGAAGGCTGTGGGCTATATAACAACACGCTTCGACCAATAGGAGCAAAAATAGATTGGTAAACGTGTAAAAAACGGCAGAAATTATTTCATCTTTGAAGCCTTCCGTTGCGTGAGCCGTTGAGACCGGCCGCCTGCCTGACGTCAACCCCCTTTGGGAATGCATTAAAAACACTTAGAAAGTACATATGACTCGGAAAAATCACATTTTTTTTTTTTTTTTTGATATGTTATTTTATTGTATTCAGATTCTTTGAATGTCTTAGTGTAGTGTTTACCTTACCCTTAGTTCTTTTGTTATCATGTAAGCAATAATGTAAATACCTGTAATGGTGTATCACACTGAACAAGTTTATTTTTTTATATTTTTTTTTTCAACATATAGCTTGTGAATATGCCGATGGTATTTCAGAAATAAATAAATAAATTTGTACTTGCCAGGATCGAACCCGTGCCCTCATGCTTGAGAGGCGGGCCTTTTAACCACTAGGCCACCACTGATTGCTATATATATATATATATATAATATAATTAATCTAAATTTAATAGTTAGCCTTCATTTTATTGAAGATGTATTTATATATAACACTTGAATGTTTTTAAGTGCAGAAATATCTTATTAGATAAATAATGTTTCAGGAATTATCGGAGAATTATCTGTTTGTCTGTTGCTGTGAACGTTGTATGTCACAAAGCAGCGAACCTGATTGCACTAGTGATGAAGAAATGAGTGATGATGACTTGGATGACTGATGCTCTAACTTCCTAGCGCTGTGTTTGCTGGGACTTTGAGAGATAATAACATATACTAATAATGACATTTAATAGTGAGTTTATTAAAGCTAAAGTGGTTTATGAATGTTAAATGAATATTGTTTCTCAATATAATCAATATACATACAATATATTGTTGTCATCAAAATATGATGTGTAATATTAAATAGTCTATCAGAGTTTATGAAAGTAAACATATGTACATATTTGTATGTTATAAACATCTCAGATGGACAGTGCATTTGCCAATAATTTATATGTTGATGATGATTTGTATGGGAGTTCTACAACATTTAGTAATTTTCAAGGTATTCTATTTTGAAATATTCTAGTTTATGTATAGTATTCTTGTATTTGATCTAGGGTTGAAGCATTGGTAAAGTTGTTAATTAGTAAAATGCTAGATATAATTATGTGTAAAAAATAGTAAGATTTTCAATATTTGTGAACATTTTGAATAGTAATCAAAGGGTCTGGGATGTGATAGATTTTTTCTCTCTGATAATTAAAACATTGTTGCAATGGCTTGAAAACTAATTGATTTTACAAAATATAAAATATCTATCAGATAATAAATAGTTGATTTAAACTTAATAAAGTGCTCAGAGCTTATAATGAAGTGTTATAATGCATTTTGAAATGTTCAATATAACAATATTTTGTCTTGGGTGAATATGATATTAACAGAAATACAGTGTAAACTCTACATAACGACACTGAAGGAACTGTGCATTTTATGGCGTTATAGAGAGTTGTCGTTAAATAGAGAGGAGAAAAATCAGAATTAGAAAAAGACAAAGTTTATTTCAGACTAGTGTTAGTAGGTACTTATAAGAAAGAATGTTATTCGAACGCTATTTTTGTTTGACGTCTTTTGCTGCACCAGTAATGTTGTATTTTTTTACTTATTTTCTTCATATTTTGCGATATTGAGGCATCTTGATGATAAAGGAAATAATGTTGCAATAATTTAGCTGCTTCCAAAGCTTCTTTAATGCTCGGCGGAGGCTCAGGCTCATCTGTCTCATCTTCTTCATCTCCTTGCTGTTGATCCTCAGTTTTTCTCACTGAATCTAAAATTTTTTTGTCTGTGAGTGAAGCCGTTGTAAGGAGACAGTCATCTGCTTTGATGTAAGTTTGAAGATTTACCGTATTTCCTGCCATGTTAAACTGTTGAATCAACTCAGTTAATGGAAGTTCGTCGTCACTATCAAACTCAAGTTCCGTTTCCACCGTTTCTATTGCGCGTATCAGTAAAACTTTTTCGTTAACACACAGTGATTTTCTTACTAGCCATGTTTACAGTTTATGATTTTGTGAGCAACTGAGAATATGATAACGTATAGGTAATCCAAGACTCCTACTTATGGTCAAAAACCGTCGACACGTGTAAGCAATCCCAATTTGTAAACAAAAGAACGAATTTCTTAGAAAGTTCGGTACGCATGATTGCGACAGTTGAGTTTATTGCGGGCTAGGATAACAAAGCGACAAAAGAACTTACACAAATGAGCAGTTTTTACTAATTTTAGCAACTTAAAAGGTACTTTTTATTACTTAATTGTTGTTGTTATTGAGAGTGGGTGTGATGCTATGTAGAGTGTATCATTGTACGGTAGGCAAGCTAAACCAAACAAAGTCAAATGATTTCGACGCTTATTTCGACTTAGAGAGTTTGTCGTTAAATCAAATGACGTTACATGGAGTTTACACTGTAATTGGTGTTTGCATTTTGTTAAGCTTAATAGCCACTGTGATTAGAGCCACATACAACATGTTAATAATGAAGAATATATAAAAATATTTATAGAGGGTTTATAACAATGAATACTGTTTGAAAAGTTTATTTTTAATACATACTTTAGTCGCAAGCCTGGCTTATGAGAACAATATAGTACTTAGATAATATTATGAATAGGCTATAGTTTTTATCGTTCATTGAACATAGATTTTATTATTAAGTTGTTGAGCTAGCATATTAAATATTGTAATCTGGAGTATTTAATTATATTTATGACCTTTTGTAGGTATTTTAATGTATGATAAAAAACTGTCCATGGTAAACAGGTATGAAACGAATTTGTCATGTTGCCTAAAGATGATAGACGGCCTAATTAATACAATGAATATTCAATATATTTTCTAGAATTTAGAGTAAGTGATATAGTAGTCTCTTTTCAAACCTATTTGGTTTGTAATGTGGTTTAATGTTTTACAATACATAGTTAAAATTAGAATGTTAGAATTAATATAAAAGTATTTCTTAAGATAGTCTTGTTTAAAAACTTAAACTTAGATGAAATGACAATTTATTTAATTTTGCAATTTATTTTTTTATGGTTTTAATAATCTCACATTTTGAACAACTATTCAACACATATTGTATCATTATTTAGTAAATTATATATGGACTGCTTACTTGATGATAAGTTATAGTTTCTCATATACCTACTAGTTTGTTAACTATAAGTTTTGTTAACTCTACACTGTATGTAACAGTTTTTCATTCATAAATATTCTTATAATCTAATATTAATTTAGTTTATAGAATGAGAAACACTTCGTATGTAATGTTATTTTGCAAACTTGTGCTAATTATACTCTTCTTGTAAGTGACAGCAGTTATGTTCGTGTAGGTATTTTAAGGATTTAGTAAGAAAAAAGTGTTAAAGATAGTTGAATATACAGGCCTACTGGTGAAGTCGAAACGAAATGCATAAACTCTAATCTATATGGGTCGTTTTATTAGATATTGTATAAGTGTGGTAACAAGCGAGGCCGCCCAGATATCTTATAACAAATTTCCTAGTCGTAATTATAAAAAAATGTACCATCCAAATATTATTTGGTCTTCTATAAAATATTTTATAAATTATTCATGTATCTTTTTACTTGGAAATAAAATGACGATTGGTGTAAGAGAAATATTTGAATAAGATTTGCCTATTGTTTGTTTCGTTTACTATCAGGACGCTCCTATTGGTTAAAATATACCGTTTGCGATTGGTGAAAACGTCTTGGGAGTCTATCGTGACGTAACGCGATATCATGACATTTGACGTACCTATTTGTAACGATAGAAGTTTCTAAGATTATTGTTTTTTTTAATGTAATACTAGTGGATTGCAGTTTAAACGGCCTAACAGAGTGTTAATAACGATTTTTTAGCTATAAGATTTAAATACGATTGTCTAGAGTTCCCTTGAATTTCCTTTTATTAGAAGGACGATGGTTTTGTTCTTTACAGTTAAGTGGTTTGCCAATGATGAATACTATTACATGTTTGAAATAAAGCCTGGATATAAATCTTGTGTGTATTTGTTTAATTTTTCGTAGAAATACGAATATTTGATTGATTCACGGGAAGTATGTTTTTTCTACCGTATTATCTGTTCGTTAAATATTTCAGAGAACTTTGGCTACATATAATAAAATTTGTTATTACGACTTTAATAAGAAAAAAAGTTTATTGTTCTACCTCAATTATTATGTATCACTGTCAAAATTTTAACTCGCATTTATTTTTATTTTTATTACAAAATATGAAACTCAAATACAATTTTGCGTAAAATTATGGTTACGAAAAATACGTTGGCCCTGTAGCCTTTAGGTTATTACATCAGGAAGGAGAAGAAGCTGTGTATCCGTACTATCCGTATGAAGAATTAATAAACATTTTAAGAATAAAAGTTAAATTGATTGAGGTTTGAGATTGATTTTGAGGAGTAAAGAGGTAAAACAAATGACTGTCCTTACAGAAGACCGCTAACAAAAAAGCTGACGTCAATTCTGATGATTGTAATTGAATTAATTTTTAATACTTTATAAATATTCAAAGATATAATAAAATTATTGATTATGAATAAGAATGGAATTTAATTTCCCAATTATTGTGTTTATGTAATGTAGCATGTAACAATCTAGGTTTCTTTTTATACCCTAGTTAAGTATGGATTTCCATGAACTCTTTCATACAAAAATGCATTCAGCCGTGCTTAGCCGCAGGCATAATTTGAGTGTAAAATTTAAGAACCAACTGCAATTTCAGTTTTCATTGTTTAAGAGTAAAAAATCTTGTTTGAAGCAGAAATTCTGAATTAGTACGTAGTTCGTTTCATTATACATATCAATGAACATATAAATATTATTTTTTTTATTCCTGCGCTTTTATTTCTTTTCATTTGAACTGATTG